TTTACAACGTCGTTGCCAAGCGACGAAAACCCAACCCCGATGGCAAACACCGGAGGGAGGAAGGGAGGAGCAACACAAAATAAATCCAGGTGGAATGTTCATGAGCGCACCTACGCGCTATTGATGAAAAACGCCGTAAGAATATGCGCTCAAGCCCTCCCTCAGACAGGCTTTTCCGTATATCGTCACGAGAGACAAACGACCGGGCGTAACAGCGCTTGTTTTCGTTTTCGTCGGCGACGGGGACTAAATGAAAATATGTTTCCTAATACAGTATTAATTAAGGTCAAGGAGCGATTGAATATGAGATGAAGAGAGAGGGGACGGGCGTAAGAAATCATTAACGTGATCCTCAGTTGGTGTAGTCCACCATTCAGATCATACATATTTATGTAGCAGAAGAGCTCTTGACGCGTACATCTTGATTTTTGTATGCTTTCAACCTTTTTTTTTGCTGGTGTTATACTTCCCCGAAGTATGTTTTGTTGCCCATTCTAATCCAATACAGTGGGTGGCCCGATACATTGCCGGTTGAATAGTGCCGGTTGCCTTGCCGGTATAGTGCCGGTGTGTTCGGCTCGTACACACTGGAATATCAAGTCTTTCTGTACTCTGAATAGTGCCGGTGCCCGGTATAGTGCCGGTGAATTTTCTCTGCACATACCGGCATTATATCGGGCCACCCACTGTACAAGATTTCGGCGCATAAAAATTCGCAATTGTTGGGAACATTGGCACAACAGCACCTTTTACCACACTTGTTCAACAGATGACAGTGGTGTACGGCATCAACCTGCCTGCAGGCAGATCACATCGTGCAGAAGTATCACACCCGTTCATGCGTCGTGCATCTGCATGCTGTATAGGTCACCTACAGCACAAACCATCATTCGCACGTGTGAATACGCGTCTGGTTTGTATACCTTCAGCACTATTTAACTGCCCTTCGGATGTATGGATACGTGTCTGCATACCACGCCGGCGGTATGTCATCGTGGCAAGTTGTGCAGCGGAATCGGAATCGCATTTCAACTCGAATGTCACCGCATGCTTATCCAGTCAGATTATCAAACACATCATTTCAAAAACGATTTCCGAAATGGTAACAGATATTACGCGCACAAGCCTCCGCGCATTTGCCCCAAAGGTTCATATTTTTTCCGCAACATCTACCTCATCCGAATCGACAAACCAACAGCGTAAACCTGCTGCTGTCATCACACGTACCTTCAGTTATGTACCACCTTCGCAGCAATACACCAGGAGTCGATTGAACAGACGGAACAATTTAGCACGTAGACGACGAACAGTCAGTGATGCCTCTTCGTCCGCAAGCAGAATCCTCTCTACATCGAGAGTATGCAATTATTCGATAAGGAGGATGTTTGACCTACCTCTATTCTAATGGTTTCATTTCATTGTTTTCTTTTTTCTACCTATATTTTTTCAACACTTGCAATAACCACGGTAATACCTTTGTCTGCAATGCCGTTGTGTCTTGCGGTCAACTCATGTTCTGAAACGTGGCCAGACCATGGTCCGATCGTTACCCCGATGTAAAACGAAAAATTGATTTCTTCTGTTAGTGTGTTCAACCACATATGTTTTTAGGAATCTTGAACAGCCAAGAGAAAACAGGCGAAGGGACTAGTGAGAAAGAAGAAAAAGTGTATTTGGGACGAAGTAGTGCAGAAGGCCAACGGAGGCCTGGAGGGAAACGTCAAGCAGATGTGGGAAG